TGCCCATTTTTGAATTGGGTTTTTGAATTTGGGGGGGGTCTGATTTTTTTCAGTTCTTTATATATTCTAGATAGTAGTCCTTTGTCTGAGGTACAGCTGCTAAAATTTTTTTCCCACCTTGTAGGTTGTTGGTTAGCTCTGTTGGTAGTTTCTCTTGCAGAGCAGAAGCTTTTTAATAAGATGAGATCCCAGTTGTTGATTCTTTGTGCTGGTTCCCGTGCTACTGAGGTTTTGTTCATAATGTCTTTTCTGAAGGAAAAGATCTTGAGGACAAAGAACAGAGCATGACCTCTTCCCACTGGGGAGTCATGAAGTATGATGAAGCAAAAAGAAAAATGTCATAATGAAGATGTAGAAAAATTTCATGATGGGGGAAGGGATTAAGAAGTCATTATTTGTCCCAAGATTTTTGGAGCCAAAATATGCTCTGCCTTTTCTTTTTTGGGTTGAAAAATTGAGGAGTCATGAGTGTGGATGTGAGATGAAAGAATAGATTCAAAAGAGTGATGTTGTTTCCATCTTTACCATTTCCATTTCACTAACCTCTTTCATGTACACCACTTTAGTATTTGTGAAATCAGGACAGAGATTCAAAGGAAGGAAAGAACAGAATGTGAATGAGTCCTGGCATCTGGGGGTGAGTAGAGGACCTTGGTAATGGGACTTCCTGTAGCCCAAGGACAGTCAGGGTCCGAGTTTTCATCTCCTAAAGTCCAGACCTATGCTCCTCTTCCACCAGGCCTAGACTTCTATGATTCCCCAGTTGAGACATGTGCCTTCTTATTTTTTCCTTGGGTAGCCACATGGAGGCAGAAGTCTTAGTGGAAACATTCAATACATGTCTTTTTCCATGTTTAAGGCACATTATGTGCAGACTTGTCAACACTTTTGATTTAAAGTAATCAAATTGGTCACATCACTTAATAAAGTGCCAACACCATATGATATTGGGATAAAGAAGCCTTATACAAAAGCAGGGTAAATATAGGAAAAGAATATGGGAATAGTGGGCCTGGGTGAGTTTAAGGAAGAACTACAGCAGTAAGTTGAGTTGAGAGATTTATGGTCTTGGAGAGGAAGATGGACAGAAACTAATGTGAAATCAGAAAAGGAAAGTGAGAAATTTACAAGACACAAGGAGAAAGGAATTTCCTATTATTGATGCACAAGCTCAGAGAGAAGAACTAACTAAGGGAAATGAATTTTAGGTGGGTGTTATTTCAGCACAGAGAAAAATTAGGGCTGGACTGCAGATCACAGCACCTTGATGTCCAGGACATCATGACTGCTTGGGATTGGTTGCCCTTGGGGCATGTGTGTAGGTGATGGAGACACTTTGGTGAATTCTTTAGAAGATAAGCTACATAGTTTGTACTGATGATAACAATATCAGGCTGGTGGTAGTGATTAGATGAGGACCAGTTTGATGAGAAAAGTCCTTTAGAAAAATTATTGCAGAGCTTTTTTCCTTTTGGAGAATGAATTGGAAGTGATTAAGAATACTGTCCATATGGGATAGAAGATGACTGAAGCTCGTGTAGCAGCAGTGAGGAGAAGTGAGAATTCTAAGGTATGTTGCAAATGCAAAGCTCTTTTGTAGTAGTTAACAGATTTGATGATGGGAGAGCAGAAAAGATGTCTGAGTAAAGTCAAAATGAATGTCAGTGTTTTACACCTGAATGTTTGGGAAAATGGGGTGTTTAGAAATGTGATATATATATATTTCAGTCACAAAAATCATATCATTGACAGGAAAATGATGGATGGAATTGGAGATCACCATATTAAGCAAAATAAGCCAGACTCAGAGAGACAAGTTCACATGTTTCCACTCATGTGGAATCTAGGGGAAAATATGCTTCAAAAGTAAAAGAGGGGCTATTAGGAAAACGGAAAAGGGTCAAGGGAGGAGGTAGGAGAGGATAGTAGGGAGGGAGAGGGTTTTAGGGAGGGTGGATATGATCAAAGTATGCATGTATGAAAATGTCACAACAAACCTGTTATTTATACAATTAATATGTGCTAATCGGTACAGTAGAAAGTATTAATTGGCTTAAAAACAGAACTGTATGGAAGGTCTAAATGTGTGTGGCTGAAAGTTATGAGCTCATGTCTAATGAGAAGAATCTGAGATGCTGATGGACATTGAGGTAGAAATAAAACATAGGATAAATAAAATATGAAGTTCAACTTATTTCCTCCACAGATGGTCCTTATCTTTAACTTCAGCTTTGTCTTAGCTTTTGAGTTTTTCTTTTCTTTGTTTTTATTCATCCACTGGTGATGCAATAGTTTCTGCTGTGGAGGTTGCCTGCCCTCCACAAAACCAATTTTTTTGTACATAAATCTGGTTCTTAATAAGTTAGCCTTCATTCTCTGACAATATACTTCTTTTTGAGCCAGGTGCTTAGAAAGTGCTGCCATGATCTAAGCTGAAGACATGTTGTTCTGCTAGTTGTCAAAGGCCATGGCTGTGAGCAGCTGTCTGGAGCTCACCCGCCACTGTCTCATTAAGGGTGCCTTCTCTCGTCTGTCTGACCTGTAGCATTCACCATGGTCAGGGCTGGAGGTCCTCACTCTCAGGTCTGTTCTTCCTCTGGAGCCCACTGTCCAAACCCAGTGCCTTCTGGACCTCTAGGCTCTGGGAGGGTGACTTACTTCACCAGACTCAGACCTTCTCTGCACCTCCTGTTCCCTTTTTACCACCAGCATCATTTATGCCCTATTTAGTTACTTGCCAATCAATTCTCCTTAAATTTTTCCATCCTAAAAAACAAATATTTACATATCATCTTCCCATGCTCTAGGTTATTTTTTTCTTGATAGCTAAAATGGGATATAATTACTGTAAATGCATTAGGAGTCTGTCTCCTGCATGAGTCAAGCAGAAGTGAAGAGGCTCCAGACAAATGCTCTTGGTACTTATGGGTGGTCTCTCCAGAAGGAGACCTGGAACCCCAGAAAGCACTGACTTTTAAAGAAAGAAAAGGAGACAGCCTGGGGGACGAACAGCAGTTTAATTCATCTGGCACTATTCGACCATCACAAAGGGAAGAAGCAAGGCTTTTATACATGTAGGAAAGCAGCTTAGTTATTCTGGCTATTGTCTTTCCGATTTTAACCTCTGATGATAACCAGTGACTTTAAGTGACTCATAAAAGCTATAGGAGAATTCACAAGTCCCCTGTTTCTGTTCACTAATCCCGTACATCAAAGAGCATACTGCAGCCCTCTTCTTATCAAATAGTATCAAGACAGCAGGACGATTTCAGCCAAAATCAAGCCCACCGGCCCACCATGAACATCACAGATGTGCATAGTGAGTTGTATCTCTCTTACCACCCATAGAGTCATTGGGTCGTTGTCCTCTGATCCTGGAAAATGGTAAATAAGAAAACTAGGGAAACCTGTTTTTCTCCAGTGAGACTTTTACAAGGTCTCAAAGTTTTCTGGCATTCTTTTAACAAACAGACTTGTGGAATTTCCCAGAAACGACTTAATTCTCTTAGTTAACAAACTTCTTGTGATCTATTCTTACAACTAGATAGCTGAATTCTACCATTTCCCACAATACTCACATTTTTTCCTAGAGTTTGTGTTTTTGATTTAATCTTCACATACATCATAATTTTTTTCTTCTTTGAATACAGTGGAAGTGCATAGCCGCACCAGGATTCTCTGCCATGCCTGAGGCCAACATAGGGCAGGGTGTGAACTTGAGTGAGCATGTGGATTTTCTGGGCCATTGTTCAACTCTGACTCCACCCTGCAGGTCTATTCCAGAGGTGAGGCTGGGACTTAGGGGGTCTGGAATGGATATGCTCCGTGGGCCGCACTTTGGGAAACACCAGTTTAGAATTTAATTATGTTCTGGTCCCTACTCATTTCCCTAAGTTAAACACAAGATCAATATTTTGGAAAAGTTGATTTATTTCTATTTGTACATACAATATATTCTAAATGATTTTTCAGAGAGAGAGAGAGAGAGAGGGAGAAAGAGAGAGAAAGAGAGAGAGACAAAGGGAGCCAGCCAGAATTTCAGAAAGAAAATATTTTTTTCATAGAAAATGTTTTCAAATAGTTTGGAAAAATATAACTTTTTTCTACTGGATACTAGGGTTAAGCAGAAAATTGAGACAGGGGATGAAGTATTATTTTCTGCTATTGCCAGCCCCCAACGTTTTAAATCTCCCAATGCCTGAAGATGCAGTTTAAATGACCTTTAAAAAAAAGTTCTTCTCAGCTTGCAGCTTGAGCTTTAGCTCACACTGATTTTTACAGCTAAATTATAAAGCTCTGACAAAAGGGTTTAATAAAGGCAATGCAGATAGCTGTGAGCAGAGGCACTTTGAATGGTCATCATTGTGATGGGAGATCTTGCTGAGAAGGCCCAATCAGTCAGACCCTCGAGCACTGAGGATCCATGATCAGGGAGATATTAGACCTAATTTTATTGTAAGAACTCCTCAATTTATGCAGCTTTTTCAGAAGTCAGAGTCCTGAAGCTTCCAAATACCAAAAGGGTTCAATATCTTATGGAAGAGGTATTTAAAGGAAATTGGCCCCCAAATCACTGTGCTATTGTCCTGTGTTCTTATTCAGTTCATATGAAGGATGAAGTAGAGGCTATTTTTATGTCATCTGCACTCTCTCCTGTTTCTTCGTTGACTCCAATCAGTCTTATGTTATTCTTCTTTGCATCATCTAGCAGTTGCTGTATTGATTTCTCTTGGTCCCTTACAATTTTGAAGCAATTTTTCTTTTCCTGGTCACTAATTGCAATCTTATCTTCTATATCTGAAATTCTGTCCTCAT